GCCGATGGATTTTAACTATATAGTCAGGTGAGTGTAAAGGGGTAAATTCTACGCCTTACGTGTTCTTGCAAGTATTACGAACTTTAAGTATTTTGATGAAGTGATTGTCGTTGTTTGATTTTGCTTATGATTGATGATATGTGCTTTGTTTGAGCTATGTTTGGAGTGAATATGTATGAGTTATTATTTACTTTAAACTTTTACATTTAGGTAGGGGTGGAAATTCGGTTACCGGTTATCGGTTAATGGGCCGGTTAAACTGATAATCGACTATTTATCCACTAACCGAGAACCGAAGTAACCGAACTTCGGTCGATTATCGGAGGCTCGACGAAATGGTTTTTGGTCTTAAAAGTGGTTCGATTAACCGATAACCGAGATAACCGAGAAATCGAAGCCTATTTTGGGTGATTTTCGGTAGGGGGAGTGGTTATTTCTTTTAACCGATAACCGGCCGATCGGTTACCAGTTATAACCGAAATAACCGAACTGCCACCTCTACATTTAGGATTTATTATTAAAGTTTAAGAAACAAGTTCTGTTTTTAAGAAGCACTTCACCTTCAACGAAGGTGAATTAGTTTTAAGTGTTTTTAGTCACTAGCATAAGCCTGTTGCCATTTGAGATCTTTGAGATAGAGCAGCGTATGCTCTTGAGAATTTTAGGATGAGCATCAATTATGCTCTTGAGCCATTTAAGATGAGCATCATATATGCTATTGAGAATTGTGGAAGAAGAGCCATTCACGATAAGTTTAAGTTTAAGGAAAGCCTGGATGACTTCTCATACGTATGAGTTGGCCAACCGGACTAGCTAGTGAGGGATCCCTGCGTCAGTCAAGTATTTAAGTCGAGATTTGAGCTTTAAGAATAAAGAGTAACAGTAACTCCCATACAGTTTTAAGAGTTAAGATTTAAAGATTGGAAGTATAAACAACTTCCACCAGTTAAAGTAAGTGTTTAAGCAAAGTACTCAACTATAATAAATTTTAAACGTAAGGGCGTAGACTGACCCCATCTCACTCACCATGCCTTAGTAAAGGAATGAGCGAGAACCAGATTGATAGCAGCTAGCTAGGGGAGCAGTTAGAGATCAGCGAGATCGAGAGAGTCGTTCGAGACAAGCTAGCTAGAGGAGGATAGTACAAGCGTCACTGAAGGTGCCAGAGATCGAATCCGAGCAAACAACAAAGTAGAGTTGTAGTTATTGCTTTACGATTATGAGTAGTTACTGGAGATTCAGATTACAAGTTTTATGTTTGAGGTTTGCCCAAGTGTTAGTGCTTTTTTTTAAGAGATGTCAGTTTAATTTTAATATGATTAAAGTTATTTATGAAAGGCTTCCGTTATTTTTTTTCAAGTTTTTTTAGTTCGAATTTTGATTCACGCCTTATCAAGGGTATTTTTGTAAAAGTAGTGTTTGGTCGGACTAGGGTGTTACAAAAACCATAACTTTTTAAGCTATAAAGCGTAGATTTTGACTACATTTATAAGGGAAGAGTGTGATTCTACATAGAATCGTTTGGTGATCTACAAGTGTAAAAGCGTAAGATTTTCAACTTTAAAAAGCGATTTTGACTGCATTCGTTGTAGCTACCACAACCTATGTGACATCTATGTTAAAACAAGGAATCATTGCTTGTACCTAGTACAACTTGATGGACCCTCGCAATGATAAGCATTATAGATAGTAGGTAGCAAAACAAATAGCACTTCATTGTCAATCAAAGACAATAAAAAAAGATTCACCCCACCTCAATCTAAAACAAAAACCAAAGTTGGGACCTTGCTGACTAGTGAAACTAATACATGCAACTTGTGTATGAAGGGACTCTAAATAACGGGTTGAATATGGTGGACTTGATGGTGGTGCTCCTACTTAAAAAGGCTCAAACTTTTGAGCCTCAATTTACAACGCATCTTAATGGCATCATACTGGTAGTTTTTTCAAACAAGGGCTCTCTATCTCATGGCCTAGAACAAGACATTGACTTCTCTTTCTTATCCTTATGCGAGGAAAGTGATGGATGAGAGGATGAAAATATGTAGGAAGGTAGCGTTCGAACGTGTATCTAGTTCTTTCAATCACCAATTCCAAACCTACACTCCCGTCTAACGAAAATGAATTGCCACACATATGAGATAATAGCAAGATCCGAGGCCTCTCCACTTGAGTAGAGACACACCATCTCGTCTTAAGCAGTCTCGTGAGGAGGAGAGGTGTTTAAGGGAAGATGGAAGATATTAGATGAAGGTTAGATGCTAGAACGCTATCCGAATTGCCCAAGCACATCCTCAAAGGCCACTCTAGTCTAAAAGAAAAGTTCTTTGATGGCCTAACTTAAACACTGTGGTTTTTGTTTTAAAAATTTTATTTATTACACTTTATACATTATTGACTTTCAAAAATGCAAATTCACTTGAAAATATTAGTGAATTATAAGTTCTTTATATTTTAATTTTGTCAAATGATTATTATTAGACCAACCTCTAGTAAAAAAAGAGAGCATGCGGTATCTTGTTATTTTTTTTTTTTTTTGTGAAAAACATAGTAATAAGTAAATTGATGACTCGGTTATGTGCTAGTTAAGTTGCGATGAGACTCCACTTTTAGAACCAGTAATAAGAGAACCCTTTTCAAGATAAATTATCAGAATTCCTTTTGAGTAAACTAAACATAATAAAGATATATGAACATTGCATGCACAAATGTATTTTTAGATATATGGAGTTATTTCGGTCTCAAATTAAGGGTAAATTGTAAGTTTGGTCATTAGAATTACTTAACAAATTGATGTTTGCCACTAAAACTAATTTATTTTATTTGTAGTCACTCAAATTAGTTCAACAGTTCAAATTTGGTCACTCTCCGTTAGTCTTCGTTAACTTTTTCTGATGTGGCAGTCAACCCTCATTGTTGACCATTAAATGAGTGACGTGGCAAATAAAAATTAATTAAAAAATAAAAATTAATATTTTAGAAATTCCACATCATTATCACAAAATAAAAAATTATAATTTTCAAAAATGAAAAATTAAAATTTCATTCGCCATCCCACATTCGTCTTCAACACCACCGGACTAATCACAATGCAGCTCCTCCGGTGGATCGCCTTCTTTCTTCTCTCCTTCACTTGGCTCCACCTCGCCGACGCAAAGAAGCCTGCTTGAAACCGAAAGAAACAGCCAAACAGACCGCTATGGGCATCACAACAAAAACACCACCACCATCGACAGCAGCAAGGCATGGGCTTCGTTTTGGTCTTCTTCCCCGACGACAAGAACTCTTCCTCTGACAGCGGGAGTCCTGTTTCCGATGGGAAGCAGACTACTCACCGCTATGATTACAGCCTGTCCTCCGCTGATTCTCCGGGAAATGCAAATGCAGCAGCCATGAAACAGACCAACTTCACCAAACCAATCCTTACCAAAACTCAAGCTCAGCAACAACAAATCGAAACTCTGCGCCATCGCAGGCCGCTCCCTCGCTAGGCCAGCCATTAGCGGTAGCACGACGAACATTTGAGTGACCTTTTATCACTCAATGCTCCTCGTCACCTTCTCTAGCTCGAACCTCTCCGTGGAAACCACGACGTTCCTTCGCCGGAGCTGCGCCTGCGCATACGTCGACACTGCGAATCCGAAGATGTGGTACACCAACAAGAAACAGAGCGACACACCCTTCACCTCTTCCAACTCGTCTTGATCTGTAGTCACCATCGTCTACGTCGCCATGAAGTTGTCATGACTCAGCACCACCCCCTTGCTCTTCCTGGAAGAGTAGAACAACGCCCCCGTGCCGACTTACTTTACATCCGCTGGGAATTCGAATTCCCCTATCAGGTCCGGGTACTGCTAACATGCGTTGTTCTAATTATTTTTATTTGTCACGTCACTAATTTAATGGTCAACTGTGAGGGTTGACTGCCACATCAGAAAAAGTTAATGGAGACTAACGGAGAATAACCAAATTTGAATTGTTAAACTAATTTGAATGACTACAGATGGAATAAATTAATTTTAGTTGCAAACGTGAACTTGTTAAGTAATTCCAGTGACCAAACTTACAATTTATCCCTGAGCATAAGATTAGGACTGACGCGCAATAACTCATGGTTTTTAGAAGTACCAGAAGAGCATTTAGATGTCTTCCATTTCAAGACATTGAGTATCTATGGTAAGACTGGGACTTGATGCGATTTTTTTTAAAAAGATTATTTATTAATACAAGTGTTTCAAGAATGTTCATATTTTAAGTGTTGTTTACAACGTAAATATTTTTTCAAATTTTTAATATTTATTATTTATGATTAAGTAAGGTTATTTTTGTAAAAAAGATTTATCTGGCGCTAAGGAAGCGTTATATTGATGGTTAATTAGGGCTGGCATTTCGGTTTGCGGTTAGCGGATAACCGCCGGTTTTAACCGAAAACCGCCGGTTATCAGCTAACCGAAAACCGACCGGTTACTTTGGCGGTCGGTGGTCGGATGGGAAAAGGAAGGGGTCGGTTGACCGAGTAACTGACGGTAATTAACCGCGGTTATCCGACTAACCGGGCCAACCGAGACTCACTTCACCTTCCCCAAAATATGTCCAGATTCATCCCCAATTCCCCATTCCCACATCTTAAATAAATAAAAAAAATTTCAAATACAGAAAGAAGAAGAAGCAGATCTATAGCCAGAAGAAGAAGCAGATCTATAGTAAAGGGGAAAATCTTGTAGAGGCGGCTGTAGCTCCCGGCGGCGTACCCGAGGACGTTGCCGACGGCGAGGAAGAAGGAGAAGAAGGAATTGGCGACACGCCGACACGTCTTCTTCTGGCTGCTCCCGGACAAGATCTCAATCGAAGAACAAGAATGGTTGAGCCTGGGCCTGAAAAACAGAGTATCTGGTGGAGGCAGGGGACATGAAAACGACGACGACAACAACGATTCCGATCATACAACTCCTCCTTCTCCCTCGGCGACCCACCACAAGGTTTTCTCCTGCAACTTCTGCATGAGGAAATTCTACAGCTCCCAGGCCCTCGGCGGCCACCAGAACGCCCACAAGCGAGAGAGGGGCGCCGCCAAGAGGTTCTTCCACTCACAGCGGATGATGATGGCCGCCGCCGCCGCCTCCATCGGCTACCCTTTCGCTCAAAATTGCGGTAATAGCCACTCTTCCTCTTTCTCGCCGCCGCTGGCAGCCGCTCGGTCGCTCGGTGTCCAGCGGCACTCTCTGGTTCACAAGCCTGCCGGGTCGGCGGCGGCGGCAGGGGCGGCGGTGGCGAGATTCGGAGGGAGGGAAAGGGATGGAATTGGGATGGGTAGTAATTGGGCGCCGTCGTTTTTGCCGGAAGAAGGGACGGTCGTGGGTTTGGTTTGGCCGGGGAGCTTTCGATCGGTGGTGGTAGATAGAGATCAAAGCTGCTGCTCTGGCTCTGGGGATTTGCATAGTAGCCTTGAGAGAGGTAGGGAGACAGAAGAAGAACTTCTTTTGGAAAGGAAGAAGAGAATTGAGAGAGAGTAGGGAGAGAGAAGAAGAGAATTGAGAGAGGTTAGGTTAGGTTAGGTTTCTCTGGAAAAGGAAGAAGAAGAATCGAGAAGTGAGAGGGGAGTGACTAACGAGTGGTGCAGAATTTTCGGGTTTTTATTTTTTTTTTATTATTTTTTTTTTTGAAAAGGTAATTTCCGGTGGCCGGCTAACCGAGCCTAAAACCGAAACCGACCGGTCGGTTGGCCGGCTAACCGTGACCACTCTCACGGTCGGTGGTCGGCAGGTATGCAGGGTGGCTCGGTTTAACCGATAACCGGGTTTTCGGTTTTCGGTTAAACCGAAACCGACCGACTGCCACCCCTATGGTTAATAGATGGGGTCAGGGGTGGACTTGTAAAAAGCTTGTATATGGTAGTGATGAAATCAAAAGTATTTGTGAGCATATAATATTTTTTTAACACTATGGCTAGAAATTGTAACATTCAGAACTTTTCCCCGCTGAAATATTGTGGTTGGATCTAGATCCGCACGATTTTTATCTTAGGGTGCATATCAAGATGATTTACCATAATGTCATCTATCCTTGTAGTGCTACATATTGAGCATGTTTAACTTCGAAATTTTCACAAGAGCTCCTTAATTTCATCTCAAAACATGTCTTGTCAATTAAAATTGACTTCATACTTATGATGGATCTTTCTCGAGGTTAATCGATGTGGAATTCGCCTAATATGTTACATTACAGAAATAATAATAATAATAAAGGGGTTACTGCTTACTAGGGATTAATTCCCTAAATACAGATAAAATTAAAACAAATTCCTAAACTACCACACTTTTAAAAAAAATTCCCAAAATACCTAAGTTTGGAATGGTTCGAGTTTGAGGAACTCGAACTACTAACCGGTTCGAGTTTAGGAGACTCGATCTAGTCGTAGATCGATGATATAAGCCTCGAACCATGTGGAGCTGAAGTGGTTCGAGTTCAGTGAACTCGAACCACTCCTTTGAAATTTCCAACAACCTTAACTTTGTGCTCGGTTATCCGATCGTAGCAAATTGTTTTTTCATTTCACATAACTTTTCGAGGACTACAACTTTTATAATAGAAATATTTTCAGAATATATGTGAAAATGTGAAAAATAAAGTTAAATTTACTCCCAAACCACCTTATATTAAAAACTGTTCCTATTTTGAAAATTTATTCCTAGTAAATGTTGTAGTAATAAAAACATTATGCAAAATAAATAAAAAACTTTGCGATATTCGGATTGCGGAGTACAAAGTTATGATCCTCTAAAGTTTGGCAAAATCGAAAAATTGCTTGTTTAGGGGTAACAAATGACATTTTCTCGGGGCGAAGGCACGGGAAATTTTTTTAAATATAGGGAATTTCTGTCAAAAGAGCAATATTTTTCCAAACGAGAAATTTTTGGATGGCTATCTTCCTAGAAAACGTCATTTGCTACCCATAAACAAGCAAATTTTCGAATTTGTCAAACTTTGGAGGATCATAACTTTGTGCTCCGCAATCCGAATGTCGCAAAGTTTTTTTTTTTGCATAATTTTTTGAGTACTACAACATTTACTAGGAATAAATTTTCAAAATAGGAAATTTTTTTAATATAAGGTGGTTTGGGAGTAAATTTAACTTTATTTTTCACATTTTCACATATATTCTGAAAATATTTCTATTATAAAAGTTGTAGTCCTCGAAAAGTTATGTGAAATGAAAAAACAATTTGCTACGATCGGATAACCGAGCACAAAGTTAAGGTTGTTGGAAATTTCAAAGGAGTGGTTCGAGTTCACTGAACTCGAACCACTTCAGCTTCACATGGTTCGAGGCTTATATCATCGATCTACGACTAGATCGAGTCTCCTAAACTCGAACCGGTTAGTAGTTCGAGTTCCTCAAACTCGAACCACTCCAAACTTAGGTATTTTTAGAAATTTTTTTAAAAGTGTGGTAATTTGAGAATTTGTTTTAATTTTATCTGTATTTAGGGAATTATCCCTCTTCCCGCTTACTAGCGATGTGCAGCAATTAATTGAAGAGAAGAAAGAAGAGGGCAGGGCAGGGCAAGGGCAACAGGGCATGTGGCAGCTGGAACTGGTAGGAAGCTGCAGCGGGGAGATGGATACACTAGATTTAGATACAGGAACGCGAAAGTGTAGGCTGAAAATACGGGTCAAACAAGAACTCATAGCGGCGGGTGTTTCTCTTCTCTTATATTCCAAGCAAGTGTTTTCATTTTTCTTTTATTTTCATTCTTAGATTATTTAAATTTCAAAAAGAAAAGGAAAAAGTAGCTTAGAAACGTTCCAGTTGTAGGTTTCCCTCCTTTTCTTGCACCTACCTTTGATTGATAAGTAGCCTTCCCTCCCTCTCTACTACTATGCGTCTCCTCCACTATACATATGAGAAAATACAAAAACCAGAACAAAGATAAGAGAGATCTTCTTTGTTTGGTACGACGAAAATGACTGGAAACTATGCCAAGAAAACTGCTTTCTTACTGTACACTTACATTTTTTTCGTTTGTTTACTGTACAAATGTTGCCCTCCGACTCCAACTCCAAGCAATTTTTTTTTTAACCACGAATTACTATATATAAAGCAAAAAAAGGAAAATTAGATATTTACACTTGTATATGAGTAGAGACTGAGCAGCTCTGAGTATGCGCATCCATATCTAGAAGTGGCAAATGGATTGGATCCATGGATTGGTGGATTGGATTGGGAATTGCCACCTCTATCCATATCTAAATCTAACCGATGGAAAGATAAAAGACTAGCTGCTAAAAATTCTCCAGCATTGAACAATGTCCGGAAATACTTTACAATGATCTACTCGGATACAAGTATTTTTCGCAAAACCTAAGGCTAGCTGTTTGAAGGTGACTCTTGGAGGCAATTGGGGAAGCTGAGGCAGAAGCTACTCTCAATGAAGCAAGGTTGAGGAAACCGTAATCGAGGTTATACCGGAAAAGTAAATGGTAGGGTGTTTTGTACTAAAATTGTGGTTTAACCATGATTGAATGTTTTCTATCGCTAAAATCACCTACCATTTTGGATCCGATACCTGGTATTTCCGATCCGACCGGCCAATACGGTAGGATTTCCTAAATCTTGCAGTGAAGCCGAACGAAGGAGCCGAGGAGGTGCGGCCTGCAGGCATCTCATCTCATCTCATCTCATTAAACTATACAGTGGAATGTGAAGGGCAGCTGCTGCCGTCCCTTTTGCAGAATAACCCTAAAAAACAAGTAGTAAACTATTGATCAAGCCATTCCACTGAAAGAAAGAAAGAAACTGAAAAATGGCGCAGTTTTCAAAGTCAATAATAAAAAAGAAGCCCACCACACGTGAGCATGAAAAAGCCTTGACAAAGCTGGCATTCTTTCTTTTCTAAATTAATTAGTTTCCAATCTCTTATCTTGTCCTTTCTCATTAGCGAATAATTAAACCAATCAGTACTTGTCCTTAATTAATTACCCCTCCGCCATCATCATCTTCTTCTTTGCTTGTAAGTTTGTGCCTTTCATTTTTGTCCCTCTTTTATCAGCATTGACCTACTCCTCCTCTCCCTCCAAATCCAAAAACCTTCACCAATATCCCCTTGGATGATGTAGAGAAGAAGATTAAGAGAGAGAGAAAGCATGATGCATCGTTAACGGGGAGGAGAGTAGAGTAGTAGGAGCTGCGATGAACATGGTTTCTCCTCCCGGAAGTCTGAACACCGTCACTCCCTGCGCCGCCTGCAAGCTCCTCCGCCGAAGATGCGCCGAGGAATGCCCCTTCTCCCCTTACTTCTCCCCTCACGAGCCCCACAAGTTCGCCGCCGTCCACAAGGTCTTCGGCGCCAGCAACGTCTCCAAGATGCTCCTCGTAAGTAGCCTTCTTGTTACCTAGACAAATACATACATGCAACATTCAGATCTTTCAGTGTGTTGATCAATATATTAGGAAGTGCCCGAGACCCAGAGGGCTGACGCGGCCAATAGCCTGGTCTACGAAGCCAACCTGAGGCTGAGGGATCCGGTGTACGGGTGCATGGGGGCAATCTCCGCACTGCAGCAGCAGATGCAGTCCCTCCAGCTGGAGCTCAGCGCCGTCAGGGCCGAGATCCTCAAGTACAAGTACAGAGAGGCCACCACCAACAACCTTCTTTCTTCTTCCAATCACGCCGCCTTGATTTCATCCGGCGTCGTTTCGGTGATCTCGGCCGCGCCAACCACGCCTGCCGCTGCCGCCTCGCAAATGGCGCCGCAGCAGCTGCAGCAGCAGCAACACCATCCGCCGCCGGCTCCGACGACTCCCACTCCGAACAGCTGTCATAACGCTTCTTCTTCTGCTGGTGGTGGTGGTGGTGGTTGATGAAAATATAATCCGACAATTCTCTAGTCTTCTCTACATAAGTCTACAAGTCTCCAGAATCAATTCTTCTAGAGAAGCATGTGAAGAATATGCAGCCATTAAAGGCGGTTGCAGCCTTTGTAGGAAAAGTAAGCAATTAAAATAATGAAAAAATTATAACCACACATGTAACCGACATACACTAAAAATCATGATATTTTCTTAGGTAATGGCGGTGGAGCTCAAGTATAAATAGAGCTGGTTGTTAGCTCTTGGTGAGGTGCAGAAAAAGCAAGAAAAGAGAGTGATAGAAAGCATAAAAGAATAGTGAGGAAGAGTGAGGAGTATAAGAGCTTAAGCTCTCTTCCGTGTAAACAAAAGGCAATTATATTGCCAAACTAGTGTGTGTAAGAGTGAGGGATAATAAGATAAATTTCCTCTGAAATTTCGATCCAAATTCTCACCAAATTTCCGCTAGCGCCCAACAAATTTGGTATCAGAGCTATACCATTTTTATCCTCCCAAATCATGGCAACAGCTCAAGCAAACACCATGTTTGCAAATACCCCCAGTCAGATTCCCATCTTCGAGGGTGAATCCTACGAGTATTGGAGCGAACAAATGGAGACCATTTTTATCGCTCAAGACTTGTGGGATATCATTCAAGAAGGTTATGAGGAAGTTGTGACGGAGGGAGATTCTGACAAAGCTTCAGAAGCTAAACTGAAGCAATATAAAGAGAATGTCCGAAAAAATGCCAACGCCTTACGGATAATCCAACAGGCGGTAAGCAAAACAATATACCCTCGAATTTTTGGCATTAAAAATGCTAAAAAGGCGTGGGAAGTTTTGCGAAATGAATTTCAAGGCAATGAACGGGCAATCTCTATTAAATGCCAAAATTTATGGCGTGAATTCGACAATTTGTCGATGAAGGAGACTGAAAGTATTAAAGACTTTCATTCTCGAACGGCTGAGATAGTTAACCAGTTAAAAGCAACTGGTGAAGCTATCGAAGAAAAGAGAATTGTGGAGAGAATTCTCCGCAGTCTATCGCCTAAATTTGAGCATGTTGTGGCAGTCATTGAAGAGACAAAAGATTTGTCAAAATTATCAATGACTGAATTGATGGGATCACTCATCGCTCATGAGCAGAGGATGAGGAAATTTACTTACCATCAACCACAAGAACAAGCTTTTCAGTCAAAAGTACATATGACTGAAAGCAAAAATATCAAGCCGGAGCAGGACCGCAGAGGGGGCGACTTTCAGAAGAGAGGAGGAAAATCAAATTTCAGAGGAAGCAACAGGAGGAACCAACAGGAAAAATCTGACGGCAACAATGGACCATACTGCAGGATTTGCAAGAAGCCGGGACACATGAAAAATGACTGCAGGTTCAAATGCAAGAAGTGCAGAAATCCAAATCACTCCCAGAGGGATTGTTGGTACCAAAAGAAGAAAGAAGACGGAGAAGCCAGTTTCACTCAAACTGAGGAAATTTCTCAGGTATCACTCTCGTGCCTCAACAACGATAAAAATTTACAACTTTCATGGATGGTAGACAGTGGCTGCAGCAGTCATATGTCAGGAGACCGGGAGTCCTTCATCGAGATAAATGACAGCTACCGCTCTCAAGTAAAACTTGGAGACGGGACCACACTGGAAGTCAAAGGCATCGGCACGGTGGTCGTAAACTCTGAGGCAGGTAACAAAACTCAAATTCAGGAAGTTCTTTATGTTCCTAATTTGACACAAAACCTCCTCAGTGTTGGCCAACTGATGCTGAAGAAATTCAAGTTATTATTTGATAACGGCGCCTGTGAGATCATTAACAAGAAAAATGGTCTTACTGTCGCTAAAGTTCCAATGTCTTCCAGTAGAATATTTCCCCTAGCACTTTCAAGAAGTGCAGGTGTAGCACTGAAAGCCCAAAGGATGGATGATTCCTTCATCTGGCACCTCAGATATGGCCATTTGAATTTCAAAGGCCTAAACCTGCTGAAGCAGAAGAGGATGGTGATTGGACTACCCAATATAAACAGAGAATTCAAGATATGTGAAGGATGCATTTATGGCAAAATGCATCGATTGCCTTTCCCGAAGACTGCTTGGAGAGCAAGAGCACCGCTGGAGCTAGTTCATGCAGATATTTGTGGGCCAACCAGAACACCATCAATAAGCGGTAAAAGATATTTCTTACTGTTTGTTGATGACTATACCAGGATGATGTGGATATTTTTCCTAGAACAGAAGTCAGAAGCATTCTCCAAGTTCCTTCAATTCAAAGCAGCAGCTGAGAAGGAATGCAGCAGACTAATCAAGACTCTGCGCACGGATCGTGGAGGAGAATTCATCTACAAACCATTCATGGAGTATTGTAGACAAAATGGCATCAAGAGGCAGCTGACAGTTCGATATACACCACAACAAAATGGTGTGGCAGAGCGGAAGAACCGCACAATCGTGGAGATGGCTAGAAGCATGTTGAAGGGCAAAAATCTACCCCTCAAATTCTGGGCAGAAGCTGTCAATACAGCTATCTATATCCTCAACAGGTCACCGACTAAAGCAGTTCTCAACAAGACACCATATGAAGCATGGCATCACCGAAAGCCACAAGTTAATCAACTTAAAGTTTTCGGATGCATAGCCTATGCTCATATCTCTACTCCGAATCAAGATAAATTCGATAAGAAAGGGGAGAAGCTTATATTCACCGGATATAGTGACGAATCCAAGGGATATCGACTCTATAATCCAGTGAAAAATGAAACGGTGATCTCACGAGATGTTATCTTTGATGAAATGTCAGAATGGAACTGGGAGCCAGAAACAACACAATCTCCACCAACATATGAATTTTTGGAGGAAGCTGCAACTCCTGAGGATGCTGACAATAACCAACAGGATCCACCCTCAAGTCCAGGTGGCAGTCCACTCGAAGATGATTTCAGAGACGTCGTCACAGACACAGATACGCCTCCAAGAAAGATAAGATCATTGCAAGATATTTATGATGCTGGTCATGTAGCTTATTTTTCTTGTGAGCCGCAGAACTTCGAGGAAGCTGTGAAAGAGGATGTTTGGACGAAAGCTATGGATGCTGAAATCTTGATGATCGAGAAGAATAAAACATGGGAGCTTGTGGTCAAGCCAAAAGACAAACCGGTCGTAGGTCTAAAATGGATCTACAAGATCAAGTTCAATGAGGACGGATCGATTCAGAAGTATAAGGCGAGACTGGTAGCTAAAGGATACTCACAACAACCTGGCATAGACTTTCATGAAACCTATGCACCGGTGGCAAGGATGGAAACCATAAGAACTGTTCTCGCTTTAGCAGCTCAGCTGGAGTTACCAGTATACCAGCTTGATGTCAAATCAGCATTCCTCAATGGAGAACTCGAAGAAGAAGTATATGTGGAGCAACCGCAGGGCTACGAGAAAAAAGGAGAAGAAGATAAAGTTTATCGACTCCGAAAAGCACTCTATGGACTCAAGCAAGCACCGCGAGCATGGAACAGCAGGATCGATAAATATTTCCAACAACAAGGATTTCAAAGGAGCCCAAATGAAGCATCGCTCTACATCAAAAAAGGAGAAGGCAAAGATTTCTTAATTGTTTGCCTATATGTTGATGATCTAATATATACAGGCACAAGCTCGGAGATGATCGAGGAGTTCAAAAGAGCGATGATGAAAGAGTTCGAGATGACAGATCTGGGACTAATGAAATATTTCCTAGGAATCCAAGTGAAGCAAAGACCTGGAGAGATATTTATCTCACAGGAGAAGTATGCTGAAGATATACTGAAGAGGTTCCACATGGCTAACTGCAAGCCGATTTCAACCCCCATGGCAGTGAATGAGAAATTGCAGCTGGATGATGGAGCTGAGAAGGCAGATGGCAAGCTTTACAGAAGCCTGGTCGGATCACTGATATACTTGACTCACACGAGGCCTGATATTTGTCACGCAGTAAGTATCGTATCAAGGTTTATGAGTGAGCCAAGTAAACTACACTACGCAGCAGCGAAGAGAATTTTACGGTATCTTCAAGGCACTAAAAAATTAGGCCTGAAATACCAAAAGGAAGGAGATAATAAGCTGAAAGGTTATACGGACAGCGACTGGGCTGGATCGCTTGACGATCGCAAAAGCACATCAGGATATATTTTCTGCCTTGGTTCAAAACCAATTTCATGGAGCACAAAGAAGCAGAGGATGCTCTAACGGCCAAAGCAGATACAATTAAAAATATCCAGCAATTAGGAAACGGAAACGGAGAAATTAATAAATTTTTCACCTTTTCTGATCGAAAATGGTTTTAACAGAAATATTTAAAGAAATAAAATAAATTATCTTGTAAACAATTCGAATTCAAAATCCCACATCTTTAAATTTGAATTTTATTAGGTTTTTACAAAGTTTCAGTTTTTTTAATACGTGGAACACCCTCTACGATCACCACTTTAGTGATGTCAGAGTCGGACCAAACTACGGGGCATGCAACCCGTTTGCACGGCTGAAGCCGATCTTGTCTACCTTCGGGAACATCTAGAAGACATAACACTGATTTGAACTCAGGATCCCGTCATCACAAGTCGGACCCGCCCCTACAAATTGGGTTATATCATATATGACCTTTGGTCTCTTGGTTTCAATCTTATATTGATTATATCTTTTAGTTTTTGTATAAATTTGTCTTATTTTATTTTTCATTGAATTTGTAATCTATATTGATGATCAAAGTGGAAGAAAAACCTCATAGTTCAACATAAAACTTCACATCTTGCTACCTTGTGAACAAATCCAAAGAAAAGTTATCTATACAAATAATCTACTCAAGTATTAAAATTAATGAAAAATAAGAGGAAAGTTAACTATTTCCGATCCTAGTCCTTCTTTGATCGCGCCGGCTGTTCCAGATCATAAAGATCCAAAAACAAAAGTTCAGATGCATTTCTTAAGGCTCCTCCATGTCATAGGATGCACCGTTCCTTCCAGAATTGGCTTCC